GCTGGAGAATCCGAGACAACAAGGTGCAGGGCTGGATGAACACAGCAGGCCAAGCAGCATCATAGTCTGCTCCTATGATGCTGCTTGGCCTGCTGTGTTCATCCAGCCCTGCAACTTGTTGTCTCAGATCATTTGGCTGTAAGTTTTCAGCAGACAGGAGAATCCCAGAAAGCAGGATAAACTGAGCAAACTGAATGGGAAATTAAATTTACTGCAACTTTGTTATGACATACCTGTCAGCATCCGTTCTCTGTCTTTACCATTTAATGGCTTTTTGGCCGCAGCCACTTCATCTTCAACACTTGCAACGTAGTCCAACAGCCGAGATACAAGCATTACAACCCAACTGACCATTGGGATGTCCAGCACACCTAGAAAGTTGAAAATAAAAGGAAATAAATGAGGCGTAGTAAGACACTAAATTTTCCTACACTTGAAAAGGCCTGAAAGCAAAATAATTGCCAAATGTTCTAATCTGAAGAGTACATATTAGGTTTCAGTCCAAGGTTTGACTAGAATCAGATTTTTAACCAAAAGGAATCCTTATGCAGAATATTACATGACTAACTAAACTGCAACAGGATTCATGGTATTCACTGGGTCAAAATTCTGAAATTTTCTCTGATTACCATCAAGACAATGACTGGAGTGCTTTAAGGAGGCAGTTAACCAGCATGGTTTTCCCAAGGAACTTGGAGATAGGCAACTATATAAGTGACCAATAAGTACATTTTAAAACAAATTTTAAAATCCTTGTTAAGCAGTGGTTTTATGTAGACGAACAATTAAAAACTGACCTGAAAAGAAACTTCACTACAAGATATTCTTGCAAATGACACATTCTGTTCAAAAATGAATTATTTCAAGGCTTATATTAAAATATAACTATATGCCTACCCTCTGTACGTCTGTATGTTGCCATTTGTGGTTGCAGAGATGATAATAAGTTATCCAAAAGGTTCAGCAGGCCTTCTAAGACCCCACTGTTACTCAGCGATCGCTGACCAAAGCAGGAAAGTAACATGAAAACCCTAGAACAAAAAGGCAGGAATGAAAAGCATCAATTATAAGCTCACAGAAGTAGCAAATATGAGCTAAATAATTTCTTGGTTTGGCATATATCAAAAGCTCTGTTTTGAAGAAGCATAAATTATTTAAGTAGCTAGGATTTTCAACAAGTCTTTACACGGTTCAAATATTAGGACTGAAGAAAAATGCTTTTTTTAATGAGCATGGAATGCTTTAAAGAAATTAAGTTTCTGTAATTATTTCATTCAAATTTACATTTATGTGCTATACAGTACACATGGTGATGTTTGAACCGTGTACCCACCTGTCCTGTGGGAAGATGAGATGTTGTTCAGAGTTATAAAGCTCTTGTAAAACATTAGACAGGAATTGCCCCCACCACCTCTCTCCACCACAAAGCTGCACAAGCAACAGTCCAGCATGCAGTCGGATTTTTGGGGTACCACTGATACACAAATGTTTGAATAGTTCTTCACAGGCCTGTGCATGGAATGTGCTTTGAAGAACTGCTGGCACAGCATGACCTGCAAGTATTTTAAAAATGCATAAATATACCATTAACGAAAAGATAATGAGCATTGGCACAACCAACTTCATACAATACATCTAAGTTTTTATTTCCATCATTACAGGCATTTTATAGAGCAACATTATCTGGATCTCTTTTTTTTTTAAAAAAAGATGGATGTAGGGCGGTAAGAAACAAGTTACTTAAAATTACTCATGAAATGTCAAAAGTTATTTGTTTCTACTGTCACATTCATACAGTCACACAGTCATACAACATGGAAATAGACCCTTTGGTCCAACTAGTCCAAGCCGATCAAACGCCAAATTAAACTAGTCCCACCTGCTTCCATTTGAGCCATATCTGTCCAAACCTTTCCTACTCATGGGTTTACCCAAATGTCTTTGAAACACTGCAACTGTACCTGCATCCACCACTTCCTCTGGCAGTTCACTCCACACACCAATCACTGTGTAAAAAAAAATGTCCCTCATATCCTTTTAAAGTCTTTCTCCTCTCAACTTAAAAATACACCCCCTAGTTTTGAACTGCCCCACCTTAGGGAAAAGACCTTTGCTGTTCATCTTATCTATGGTTTTATAAACATCTATAATGTCACCTCTCAACCTCCTACGCTCCAGGGAGAAAGGTCCCAGCTTACCCAGTCTACTTTTGTAACTTGAACTCTCCATTCCTGGTAACATCCTGGTAAATCTTATCTGAATGCTCTCCAGTTTAATAATATCTTTCCTATAACAGAGCAACAGACTGCACACAATACTCCAGAAGAGGCCTCACCAACATTCTGCACAACCTCAACATGGCATCCCAACTCTGATACTCAAAAAGGTATAGGCAATGAAGGCAGGCTTTCTAAACACCTTCTTAACCACCTTATCTACCTGTGACCTAAACTCTTAGGTCTCTCTGTTCTCTAATACTATCCTGGGTCCAGCTATTAATCATACAAGTCTCGCCCTTGTTTGTTTTACCAAAATGGAATATCTCACATTTACCCAAATTTAACTCAGCCATTCCTCAGCCCATTGGCCCAAGTGGTCAAGATTTTTTTGTAACACTAGATGACTCAAAGTGGGAACTCATTAGAATTTGTAGCCTGCTTCGGAATAAATCAGCACCTGGCTCAAATATCCAAACTGGCCATTAACTGATTAAAATCTTTTAACAGCCATTTCAAAGTACACATCAAACAAACACTGTATCACAACACTGTTCTCCAATGTGTCACTTCTTTGGCAAAGCAATAATTAATTTAATAAGGAATTCCCAAAAAAAGCCAGGAAGATACCGATTCTATTGCTCTCACTTTGATTTTCTTTGAAATTTACTGCACTATTTTTCAGACAGACAAACCACTAAGAATATTACTGGATGCCTTGGGAGCTGATGATAATTTGCATTTCTACAGAAAATCTCTTAACATGCAATAAATTCAATCTCTCACATTGGTTGGAATCTTCCATTTCCATCAGATGCATCCCTTACTTATTCAAAGATGGCAACACACGTGAGCTAACCCAATGAATTGCCCTATAATCAGGCAGCTTAGAGGGCAGTGATGGGCCTTTCTCTGAAACTAAGTTTCCAGGTGTGTTTTCGTTTGGAGGGCTGGAGTTGCAGGGAGAGGGGAGCAGGGGAGTCAGGAGCAAAGGCGAGAAACTGATTCTCAGCAGTCACCTCTTCTGCCTTATGTTTAGTCCTTTGATTGTGGAAAAGTGCTGCAGATCAAGGGACACTCCAAACCCTGCAACTAACAGCCTGCCTGCGCTGGTAGGCTGAGTTTTCTTTGCCCCAGCAGCAGGTGATTTAGCAGCATTACCAATTTATATCTTTGCCGAGTTCTCCAACGTTCACTCATTTCAGTTTTCTCCCACGCTGCTAAATCGTAGTAAAGTATGGTCTTTTTTAAATAGTGAAATTTAGAGTGTAATGCAGCACCTACAGAAAATCTGTAAATCTGTTTCAATTTGAACATTTTTCCAATCCTAGCATGGGATGTAGGCATTGGTGATGAGGACAGCATTTATTATGCATCCCTAATTCCCAGAGGACAGTTAAAAATTAATCTGCATGGTGGATTCTGACTCACGTCCCCAGAATGAGAGCCTGGGATCCTGTATTACTAGTTCAGCAATGCTACCAGTATATCACTGCTTCCTCAAAGGAAGGGATCAAAGTTAAAAGTTTGTCAGGATCCAACATCATGTATATTGTTCTGCTACTCAGTTTTACAATACATCACTCCCATGAGAGATCATTCACTGCACATTAAGTTGGAGGACAACCAGATTTGTGTCAGGCACAGTACTTCGATGATTACCACTTACCTGCAACTGGGTCCTGCACACACTCATCATAAAGATACAGTGGCATCTTTAGTGAATGAACATTTTGGTAAAATCACATCATTTCTTGAATTTATCAATGCACTAGAGTTCTCCGAAACACTCAACATGGTTGGCTTTTCCTGAACAAACTCTCTGGTGTGAACTTTGGAATTACTGTATCATCTCCAACCTTTCAGTCATCCAGATTCAGTCATCGTCAAACATTTCTCAACAGTTTTTAATCTGGATAAGGATAAATGGCCACAATTGTTTCTAAAAATCATTCATGGGATGAGGGCATCACGAGCAAAGCCAGAATTCGTTGCCCGTCCTAACTGCCCTTGCGAACACTGAAGGTAAACGATATTTCTGGGATCTGGAGGCACATGGTATACCTGACCAGGCAAGGACAACAGATTTTGTTTCCTAAAGAACATCAGTACACTAGATGGGTTTTTATAACAATCATGTTTTGTTGTTACCATTATCGAGACTAGAGTTCAACTCCGGACCTTTTTGGAAATGAATGTAAATCCACCAACTACCATGGTGTAATTTGAACTTACGTCTCCACAGCAGTCCTGGATTAACAGTGACATTACAAACTATTTGGAGGCACACACATTTTGCATGCTGATGGAGACAAAATTCTAAAATGGCTATGATTATAAACAGGGGTTGTATTCTCTATGCACTCCATTTTAATGCCACAGAAATGTGGCAAACACTAAACTACATTGTGGTGTGCCACCTTTCTGAAGTATCAACAATTTACAAAAGGCTAACCTCACCATGGCTACACACATCTACGTCATCCTACAAAATGTCTTAAGTGTGCCAACATTTCAAAGTTCAAAGTTCAGACAACATTACAAAGCAGCTTCTAACAAGCTCATAACAAAACTGAAATAATACTTGCAGGTGAAAGTGGGATAGTGCAAAGGGCTCTTTCAATGCAAGGGGTTTTAAGTGATGACAACATTTGCTTTGCCGGACCATCTGAATAGGCAAACAATTTCCATTTGATGAGAATCACTTGATCAACGTCATCTAAGATTTATGTATATTATATCTTCCCAACATTCCAAACCGCTCACTACTTCTGCCTTCCTAGTCTCCAAGTACTGAATGGCACTTAACCCACTGATATAGTCACGGAAAACAATGGTTGCACACTCCCCAGTAGTCATTTAGTTCAACACAATATATTTTACAGGAGCACTTCCAAAAGCGAAAGGAAAAGAGACACCAACCACTGGACGAATGTAAAAGGCTCAGCAACGTGTCCAGAAGGTATCGGATGATTGTGCGCAGTTGCTCTGTAGAAGAATTCTGTATCAATTCTGTTGAGTCGTATGTTTCTGGCAGAGTTTTCCTGCTGGATCCAAGAGCCACCCTAAGGCGTTGCACAGCGTGATGGGCCAAGTTGAGCTGAAGCTGCAACTGAATGCAGTCTTGATGTGCCGAAAATACTTTACTATCCTCTTCGACTGCTTTGTCAGGCTTCCGTAGGAAGTACTGAGCATTGTTAGCACTATTCAGTGGAGGAAGATCAATATTCTGCAGCAAAGTTTCCAGCCTATGGCAAGCGAGGTTATATCTGTTAAAGCAAATTAAAATTGATGACTCTACTATACTTATAACAAATCAAAACCATACTAGCTATAAAATCTCACACCAAATAGACAAATGATTTAATTTGTGATCACATTTTTTCCTTCATTAATGAGGGAAATCATTCCTTCTAGGCCACGAGAGTTTACTATTATCATTACTGAGATTAACAAAGAAAACCATAATAAAATGTACAGTAATAAACAATTAAAACTAAAATTAAATGTCTTAAAAAGCTGACTTTCTCCTCTCGACCTTCCTATCCGAGGTAGGGATTAAGGAAGGCTAGCAACTTTCTAGTACTTTGGCTAACTGACTACCCTTCAGGTGCGGTCATAAATGGCACCCTAGTGTGAACAACAGAAATCAAGCCTATCCCCAGTGAACAACTTATTTCCAAGCAGAAAGCTCCGGACAGTCAAAGACATAGATCTCTTTTCATAGTCCAATTACTGAAGCATCTGTCTCTTTGCTGCTGTCAGCACACACAACGGACCTGATGTCTTATGACTTAAGTCAGGGCATGCAATCTAAAACTTTCACAACTCTGAATGTATATGACAGACACATAATTGTTCACTGAATTCTTATGCTGCATTTTTCCTATAAGGAGTTGAAAATCATCTTCTCACAGATCTAATCCTGTTCAAACTATGTTAGTGGTTGAGCCTCACTTTCAATCAGAAAGCATTAACAAAATTAATTTTACAATTTTTCAAATGCTGTTTACAGTTTGTTTCTATCGTAATAAGGTTTGCTAGTTGTAGCTAGGATCAAGAGGAGATATTCTGTAAGCTAAGAAATGGTGAAGCAATTAGGTTTTCTGCTCCAGATCATTATAATGCAATTGATGCTGATCAAATCACCTTGTGAAAACAATTTGCAAAGACAGCAAACACGGTTGGGATACTCCATATCTCATGATTAAACCCAAATGTGGTACATTAAGAGTGGTCCTTCAATGGGGAACTATAGGGTCACCAGCAAGAACAGATGTATGCCCCAGCACAAAGCATTTGCAAGGGATAGATAAGGAAACAAAACGCCAGACTTTACTTGCACCTATTAAAATGAATAAACTAACCTGCACTGTATATCTTCTTGAAGAGCTACCATCATTGTTAATTGCTGTTCCATTTCTGGCTGGCTTGCAGAATCACTTTCACCTTTTAGAGGGTCATGAATCAACTTGATTTCACTTTCCCATGGTAAGATGTAAGTGTGTCCATAATACAGACCAAGCGGTATTTTAGCTCTTGCATTTGTGCTTCCATAACGCCCAATCACTGTAATCTGCAAAGCAAATGGAAAGATTTGGTTTAAAAAAGTAATAAAGAATTTAAGTAAAAGCAAAATACTTTAGATGCTGGAAAAACTCAGGAGGTCTGGCAGCACCTGTGGAGAGAAAAACAGTTAACATTAGGTCCAATATGACTCTTCAGAGCTGATCTCAAAACGTTAACTGTTTGTCTCTCTACAGACCAGCTGTGTTTCTCCAACATTTTCTTTTTATTTTATATATAAAAATACTTTAACTCACATAGATTGTATGTGAAAGGAAATATTCGAAACTCCAAACAATTGCTCTGTCATCAATTTATCTCAAATCGAAAGTTCTCATCATCTTTGGTCCTGTAACACTCATGGTATCCTGAGCACTATTCACACCGTGTTCCCCAAGTTAAAACAAGATTTTTCTGGACATTGGTACCCCATTTTACTCTAAATAGAGATTCAGACCTCATATAATCTTCTCAAAAGCTGTCTACATTCATACACACAACCTATCCCTTTCCACCCCTAATACAACCCATTTGCTACTGAAACCCTCACCCAGGCCTCTAACCTCTGGATTCAACCACTGAAATGCTCTCATTACAGGTTACCACTCTTAATCAACTTCAACTTGCCAAACTCTCCTACCCCATATCAACTTCTATTCAGCCATCGCTTCTATGTTCTTTAAGCAATATTAAAATCTGGTTTTGCCAGACATTAAATTTAAAATTCTCATCGTAAGTGTTCAAAAATCCTTTCACGGCCTCACCCCATCCCATTTCCATAACTTTCATCAGTCTTTCCCAGGTACTTGGATCACTCATGCTGAAATTACTTTGATCCGCCATGTTGTCTTCAGCTTCCTGAGCTCAGAAATTACCCTTCTTAAACTGTTGCATCTATTTTTTTTTTCTTTAAAGATTCTACCCAAAACCAATCTCCTCTACAGAGTTTTTAATTATTGTAATGCTTCCTTTTGAGGAGTATCAGTTTGTCAGAGCACGTTTTTGGGAGGCACCTCGAGATATTTATTTCACTTAAAAAGGCACCATGTACGTTTATATATTGCTCTGAAGGAGGGTCATTGGACCCAAAATATTAACTCTGCCCTCTCTCCACAGATACTGCTAGACCTGCTGAGCTTTTCCAGCAATTTCTGTTTTTGTTTCTGATTCCAGCATCCATAGTTCTTTGGTAAAGATAACAAGGTGTACAGCTGGATGAACACAGCAGGACAAGCAGCATCAGAGGAGCAGGAAGGCTGACGTTTCGGGCCTAGACCCTTCTTCAGAAATGAGGGAGGGGAAGGGGGTTCTGAAATAAATAGGAAGAGAGGGGGAGGCGGATAGAAGATGGATAAAGGAGAAGATAGGGTGGACAGAAGACAGACAGGTCAAAGAGGCGGGCATGGAGCCAGTAAAGGTGAGTGTAGGTGGGGAGTTAGGGAGGAGATAGGTCAGTCCAGGGAGGACGGACAGGTCAAGGGGGCGGGATGAGGTTAGTAGGTAGGAGATGGGGGTGGGGCTTGAAGTGGGAGGAGGGGATAGGTGGGAGGAAGGACAAGTTAGGGAGGGGGGGACAAGCTGGGCTGGTTTTGGGATGCAGTAGGGGGAGGGGAGATTTTGAAGCTTGTGAAGTCCACATTGCCTTCCTGCTCCTCTGATGCTGCTTGGCCTGCTGTGTTCATCCAGCTCTACACCTTGTTTTCTCAGATTCTCCAGCATCTGCAGCTCCTACTATCTCCATAGTTCTTTGGATTTGTTTTTGTTAAGTGTATATTGTTGTTGTTATTCATATAGTTTAACAGGGTACATACCTTCATGAACCTGCAAACAGGTGGAGGCAGTAAATCATGAAGAATCAGTGAGTGTGTACTAATATCTGTGGCCACCACTAAACGTCTTCCATCCACTTCTTCTCCCAGAGTCCAAATGTCAATTGATAAAGATGCCAAATCGCCACAGGTTGGAATCAATATATCGGTCAAGAGTATTGGTCTCCCAAAGTCCAGCGTCACAAACCGTCGAGCCCCTAAATTAGAAAAATAAAATTCAAACTTAAATTATCAAACAAAGCAGACATTTTAGTTACAAAATGACAAACATTCTGAGGATATGCAGGACAAAAAGGTTTAATTATTAGTATGGGTGCAATTAATAAATTAATACTTTGTTGAATGGGTGACAAGATTATGTAGCAGATTAGAGCATCTTGGAAATGTGCAGAACAGCCAATCTATTAAAGTTGCATTGTCATTAAAATTACTCCACTTGCTTTCATATCTTTCTCTCAATGCTCTCTCTCTTTCATCAAGATGCCCTAGAAACTGAAAAATGGACATGATTTAAAAATTTTTAAGTAGGGCACTAATAATTCAACTGCTAAAGGTAGCAAATACTTCCGTTGCAAATAGCAGGAAAGTCCAGTAACAGATTTCAACCAAGGTAGCTAGCAGAGCATGACAATCAATCTTGCTATCTCTGGCCAGAGAGGAAAAAATAGGTCAGAATTCATATTTCTAAAAATCAGTTTTTGAATTCCTGTTGGAAAGGAATGCTAATACACTTGAGGTAGTGATGCCATCGAGTTTAGCAGCGAGGCACTTCAGAATCAAAACAGCCTGCCTACATTGTCTGTTTTATTCTCATGAAAAATGGCCATTTTCATGAAGCAACAAGATAACGGGCACTTGGAAAAAACAAGAGTAAATACACACAGGGAAGACGAAAACTGCTGATAAAAGTCAATGCTTTATACAGCTCCAGACTACTGCAACACAACAATTAAAACAAAAGGTTTATCTACCCGAATGCATGCGTTCAATGATAATAGATTGATGTGGTGGAGGCTGAAGTAGGTGAGAAGCATGAGAAATTGCTAGAGCGAGACCAGTTCCCAGAGAACTCTGAAAGATAAAAAAAAATTATTGCATTAACATCCAAAAATTGATAAATTAAACTAAATAAAGCAAAAAATCCAGCACACTCACTTGTGCTTCATTTACAAAGTCAACATGCAAACCCCAAAAATACTTCTGGCAGCAAAAAGGTCAATTGAGACAAAAATTAATCATGCTTGCCTATTGAGTAGTATCATTTCATGCATTACGCATACAAAATGTGGAAATAAAGAATTATGCACAATTTGCACATTCAGTACATTCAGTACATTACAATTCACAAATTAACCTTTCGTTTATTCATTGCAAAGTGACATAAACATCGCAAGTGGCACTTCCACACTGCTCAAGAACTATCACATAAGAAAGTGCTTTTTCTACATTAGACAACCTAAAAATTATACACAGTACACTAATTGAGGCCTGATTGTGCATTGTTTAAATTCCTTGTTTACTCACTACTGTATATTCCTACTTATAAAACCCAAAATGCTATTGGCCTTTTCAAATTGCATACATGTCACTGAATTATAAATTGGAAGTCCAACAGGATTCAAAAAGGAGGCAATCAGCTCAGTTCTTTAGCATGTGGTTCAGGTCAATGCCAACAGCTTGGGTTCAATTCCCGTCCAACCAAGGTAAACGCAGGACCAGAGTCCTTCACACTGCCCTTAAGGGGGCAGCAGCAAACTACTACTGACAAAAACTGACAAGAAAAAACAGCTCAGGCTAAAGCATAGCAGCAATGAACTAAAAACACACCTTTGGGCAGAGCATACATGAAAGGAAAAAAGTATTTAAACTCCTAAAGTGTCTCTGCTCATCTAAACCATTCACTGCTAAATTTGTATTCCTAGGCAACAGCCGGATTTCTACCCACTGTATAATTGAGAATATGTGACTGCACTAGAAACAGTACAAATAATTTTACAAGAATATTGTCTGGACTAGAAAATTTAATTTATGAGGAAAGATTCAATCAGCTAGGGGTGTGGAACAGAAGGGGCTGAACGCTTGCCTAGTGGAAACATATAAAATCATAAGGATTTCCACCAAGTGGATAAGAAAGCCCTATTCCTCATGGTTGAGGGAACGTGGAATTAAGCATAATGACTACCTCACAGCTGGCACAGACATAATGGGTAAAGTCACCTCCTTGCATAAATTTCTTTAGTTTCCAATTTTTCTTCTAAAATCCGTTATATTAGTCAGCAAATCGTCATATTGTTCTGCCTGGATCCAAATACAAAATTTAAATCGACATGAAGAAAGTGAGTCTAGCACCTGCTATAGAGATACACCATTTGTCATTATTTGCCATCTGAAGTTAACACTTGCAAACACTAATCATTTGTTTCTCACCCAACAAATTTCTATCTATGCTGCTACATTTCCACATAGCACTTATTACAAGATTCCCGCAAAACATCTTGAAATGCCTTGCAAAAATCCATGCTGAATCTAATCAATAAGTTAATTCAAATAATTGCGAACAGCAGTCAGTTTTTAAAAAAGGTTAATTGGAATTGTGCGCAATTGATATTTAACAGATTTTAAAAACCAATATATTTAAATATGCACAGGAATTTGAAAAATATATACGTTAGTGGGATACTCCCAAACATACCGTTTTGGACTTGTTGGCATTTTTTGAATGAATGGCCACAGTGACAGGATGAGGATCAATAACTGAGCCAGGAAAGAGCTGGGCTAATTCTGCACTGATTGCTGCAGAAACTGCCTCATTGGGAGGTGTTAATGGTGGAGTCATGAACAATGGCGTTGTTTTTGGAGTGGGTGGAATGACATCAGCGGGGTGTATGAAAAAGCCAGGTGCTGTGGAGGCACTAGAAGGCACAGAGTTGTGAATAGGTCCGACTCCAGGTGCTGACGCTGCTACTGCTGCTGCCGTAGTCTGATGCAACTTGGCTTCCAGCTTGGCCTTCTGTTATATTTAAGAAAAAGAGTAGTCCATTAAACTACTTTATTGCAGCGGGTCGTCAATTATAAGTTAGAAAAAAACAAAGAATGAGATTTGGTTTCTCAATCTGAGTTTGAGAGAAGAAACTACCTCTGTTATCATCTATACTCACACTAGGTTTCCCCATGATCAACAGTAATACAAAAATACTCACATTTCATTTGTGCATCAGAATGTCACTAAACCTATTACTGATTATAAAGAATAAAACATGACTTACATAAATTTGTAAGGAAGATAGGGTAAAATTGTGGCCAAATTTTAATAACGGCTTCCATAATCAACAAATACAATTAAAATAGCACCACTTGCCTGCTGCTGAAGTTTTAGCAACTGCTGTTGTTTCTCCTGCAGAACCTGTAGCTGTTGCTCTGCTGAGGCCATTGCATGGGAGAGGGACTGAAGGGCTACTTGAGCTGCTGAACTCAGGGCCGTTGAGGCTTCTCCTACTGTGCCAGTTGTAAGCCCACCTACTGCTGTTGTGAGCCCAAAGCCAGTCACTAAACAACAGGAAAACAGAAACAGCTGCAGTTAATTTTTAATAATAATTTGTATTTTGACTTGTAAGAAAAATAATGTTTCAAAAGATGAGTTATAACAGATTCAAAATGTTAACTCTATGTCTCTCTAGCGGTGATGCCAGACCTGCTGAATTTCTCCAGCATTGTGTGTTTGATTTAGGTTCCTGCTTAAATGATCTGCTGGCAACAACTAGGATACTGCGGTCCACTACACATTTTCTTCATCATAGAATATTAAAAAAGCAATCCAATTCTGTCAACTACATGGCCACTTAGCTCTACAGAGACCATTTACATCCACGTACATTTTGGTTAAATTTAACTAGTGAAGCTATATGGGTGGAACTGATAATAAGAAGGGGATGATCACCTTGATGGGGTTGTACTATAGGCCCAACAATCAATAGGAAACGGAGAAGCAAATATGTAGGGAAATCTCGTATCTGAGAATAACAGGGCTATACAGTAGGGGCTTTTAACTTTCCAAACATAGACTGGGACTATCATAGTGTTAATGGCTTGGATGCTGAGGAATTTGTGAAATGCATTCAAGAAAATTTTCTTTATCAATATGTAAACGTACCTCTTCAAAAAGGAGCAAAACTCTACCTTCTCACGGGAAAAAAGGCAGGGTAAGCAAATGAGGTGTTTGCAGGGGAGCACTTTGGAACCAGTGACCACAATTCTCTTAGTTTCAAAACAGTTATGGATAAGGATAGGCCTTGTATAGAAGTTAAAGTTCTAAATCGGAACAAAGTCAATTTTGACAGTATTAGACATGAACTTTCAAAAGTTGATTGGGATAGGCTGTTTGCAGGTAAAGGGATGACTGGCAAGTGGGAGGTTTTCAACAATGAGATAACGAATGTTGAGAGACAGTATGTTCTTGTCAGAGTGAAGGGCAATGCTGTTGGCATTGGTAACATCAGATGACTAAAGATAGAGGTGCTGGTCAAAAAAAGGAGACAAGCTGCCAAAGAAAATGGTGAAGGCTTGTACAATTACAACGTTTAAAAGACATCTGGATGGGTACATAAATAGGAAGGGTTTAAGAGAGATATCGGCCAAATGCTGGCAAATAGGACCAGATTAATTTAGGATGCCTGATTAGTATGGATGAATTGGACCAAAGGGTCTGTTTCCATACTGTACATCCGTATGACTATGACGCTATATCTCAGGCATTGACAGCTGGGACCAAGTCTTCAGGAGTATAGGGGAGTAGGGGCATACTTAAGAGGGAAATCAGGAGGGCAAAAAGGAGATACAAGATAGTTTAGCAGATAAGGTTAAAGAAAATCTAAAGAGATTCTAAAAGTATATTAAGGGCAAGAGCAAATAGGGAGAGAATAGGGCCCCTTAAAGATCAACGAGGCCATCTATGTGTGGAACCACATGAGATAGGTGAGTTACTAAAATATTTTGTGTCAGTATTTACTATGGAGAAAGACATGGAAGTTAGGGAATTTGGGACAAATAAATATTAATGTCTTGAAAACAGTCCACATTACAGAAGAGGTGGTGCTGGAGGTCTTAAAATGCATAAAGGTAAATAAATCCCTGGACCTGACAGTGTATGAGGACATTGTAGGAAGTTAGGGAAGAAACTGTAGGGCCCCTAGCAGAGATATCTGCATCATTTACAGCCACGGGTGAGGTGCAGAGGACTGGTTTCTGCCTTTATTTAAGGAAGGCTGCAAGGAAAAACCAGGGAACTACAGACCAGTGAGTTTGATATCAGCATGGCTAAGTTGTTGTAGAAGATTCTGAGAGATAGGGTTGACTAATTAGGGATGGTCAGCATGGCTTGGTATGTGGAAAATCGTGTCTCACAAACTTGACTGAGATTTTTTGAAGATGTAACCAAGAGGATAGAGGAGGGCAGAGCAGCAGACATCGTCTACATGGACACGAGCAAGGCCTTTGACAAGGTTCCACATGGTAGATTGGTTAGTAAAATTAGATCACATGGGATCCAGGGGGAGCTTGCCAATTGGATACAAAATTGACTTGACCATAGGAGACAGAGGATGGTGGTAGAGAGTTGTTTTTTGGACTGGAGGTCTGTGACCAGTGGTGTTCCACAGTGCTGGGTTCACTGTTGCTTTCATTTATATAAATGATTTCAATAAGATTAAAGGAAGCATGATTAATAAGTTTGTGGATGACACCAAAATTGGTGGCATGATGGACAGGGAAGGAGGTAATCTATGAGTACAACAGGACCTTGATCAGCTGGGCTAATAGGCCAAGGAGTGGCAGATGAAGCTTAATTTAGATAAATGCAAGGTGTTGCATTTTGGTGAGATAAACAAGGGCAGGACTAATACAGTTAATAGTAGGGTTCCAGGGAGTGTTGTCGAACAGAGACCTAGGGGCTCAAGTACATAGTTCCTCGAAAATGGCGACACAGGTAAACAGGGGGGTGAAGGCATTTGGCATATTTGCCCCATTGGTCCAATTTCAGTATAGGAATTAGGACATCATGTTGCAGCTGTACAGGACATTGGTGAAGCCACCTTTGGAGTACTGCATATAGTTCTGGTCGCTCTGCTAGAGGGAAGATGCTATTAAATTAGAAAGGGTGCAGATAAGATTTACAAGGATGTTACTGGGACTGGGAGCTTATAAGGAGAGGCGGGATAGGCAGGGACTTTTTTCCCTGGCAAGGAGGTTGAGGGATGACCATATACAGGTTTATAAAATTATAAGAGGCATAGATAAGTTGAATAGCAAAGGTCTTTTCCTTGAGGTAGAGGAGTTCAAAACTAGGGGGCTTAACTTTAAGCTGAGAGGGGAAAGATTTAGAAGGCACCTGACGGCAACATTTTCAGAGGGTGGTGCATACGTGGAATGAGCTGCCAAAGGATGTGATGGAGGCAGTTACAGTTACAACACTTAAAAGACATTTAGACAGGAACATGAACAGGAAAGGTTTAGAGGGATATGGGCCAAATACAGGCAAGTGGAACCAGTCTAGTTTGGGAAACCTATTAGGCATGGACGAGTCGGGTCTGTCTACCTGCTGTATGACTATATGCTACATGGGAAAGTAACAGTTAGCAACTACATATGCATTTTGGCGATTTCCATTTGGCAGCATGGTGAGCTTAATCCAGGACATTTGGTCGCATGGAATAGGGGGTCAGGTTCTATAGAAAAGAGCATTATCTCTTCATCATTTAGAATTTCTCAACCTACTTGCATCATCTCTCTCCACTCTTGTGCCATCACTTGTTGAAATGCAACTGAAGTGCAGAGGTTCCACTTCCAGGAGCCCAGTCAGAGCTGTGAAACTGCCTTCTGCTGCAGCACAATTGCTCATCTTTCCATTCCCTGCAGAACAACATATATTTACAAATAGGTGTTTTCCTAACGTTTAATACACATGTAAGAGCCAAAAAAATCAAACCAGATTTGGAAAAGGTGTAACACCAGTTCAGAAACATTCAAAACCAGAATATCTAGTTTGACTAGAAGGTTTTACAGTATGAAATGATAACTACAGCTTCAAGAAGAAAAACTGACATTTCCATTGATCAAATAGTCTCAGATCTTGGAATCAAAGCTATTGGAATCTTAACCTCTACGAAGTCAGGTTCAATTTCTAAATGGTGCATTGACATGGAAATTTCAATACAAAGTTGACTGAATGGAGCAGAACTCAAAAGTGACGTCAGTAAACTTTAACCACTTTTTGAATCTATATAGATAAGTTGATGGTTTAAAATTACAGAATTTATACTTTCCATCTACAAAATTATCTCAATGTGTGACTAGATGCATGATGTTGTTGGTACTTTGCTGAACGTAATTGATATGAGTTATGCAAAATGATTGATGTTATGCATGAACAACAACTAAGGATCACACAAATTATGGAAAGATATCACAAAATTACAGGTTGAAGCATTTCTATAAAGTACTTGGGACGCTGATACTATGAATCTGCTCTGTTTGTACACCACATAATACAAAAACTCCATTCTGATCTCCTAAAGCCAGCAAGCCTGCATCATAGATAAACTGACATACATGCCACTGATGCTTTTGGAACAACAAGTGAATAACTACTCAGGTACTATGTGAAAGTTCTCCTGAATGCTGCAGCGCTAACCTACTTGGCTGCATTAGGAAAGCAGCAACAGGATCATAGGAAGATGGCAATAAAACACAGAAGGGCAAAAAAAAACCTTAAGTTACCAGGTTGTACTATAATAAAAAACGCATTTGTAAGTTTTCTTTAAACTACCAATTGTAAATATCAACAACAAAAACAAAAATTGCTGGGAAAAACTCAGCAAGTCTGGCAGCACGTGTGGAGACAAAGGAGAGTTAATGTTTCGGGTCCCGATGCTGCCAGACTTGTTAAGCTTTTCCAGCAATTTCTGTTTTTGCTTGATTTCCAGCATCCACATTGTAGAAGCGTACCCTTCGACTGAGGACAAAGACTCAGGAGGCAGACAGAATTCAGGCAAGTGGAAGATGTTTATTCAAGCAAAAACCGCTTAATGCAGGGAGAGGGCCAAAGCATCTTCCCTAAATCTGGCCTTGAGGTGAGAACTCAATTACTCCTTTACTCTTTGGCTCAGATCAGAAGAGAGCTCAATGACACACTACACTTTACAGCAAAATACAGCATTTTATACATTTTCTGTTTCAATAATCAAATACAGTGTTATCACGGTCCTTCCCCCTTAATCCATACACCCAATCCCATGGAAACCCTATTCAATGAGGGGTATTCCTATGGATAGCCCCAGCGTTCTCATGATCTTATGGCGTTTACCAGGCATTGTAATCTCTAGGCCTTGGGATCCTATTCCTATTCATCACATTCAGAAGTTACTGGCTATACTCGTTCGGATCTGTCTCAGGCTTGCTTATCTTTAAGGACAGCTTGAATTCCATTATTCATTGTATTCCAATGTGCTGCCTTCATCAAATTCAGTTACTCCTCTGATATTTCCCACTGTCCTAATTATATATGTAAAAATACAAAAGACAGTTAGTTTTAAATAATTGCTAGAAGGCTAATTTTGATTATAAAGTTAGTTATAAAATGTAAAGTGGTACTGCTACTTCTACTGTTAGCTTTGTAATTAATGGGTTGTGAACAATCTATCTTGCCCAGGGCGTAAGATAAGGCATTTTCTAAGGCTAATTAACTTTCACATCTAAGTTTAAATTTTTTTTTCTCTAATGTTTATATTATACATCATAGAATCCCTACAGTGTGGAAACAGGTCCTTCGGCCCATCAAGTCTAACTGACCCCCAGAGAATCCCACCCAGACCCATTCCCCTTTAACCCATCTAATCTATACATCTCTGAACACTATAGGCAATTTAGCATGGCCAATCCACCTAGCCTGCACATCTTTGGACTGTGGGAGGAAACCAGAATACCCGATGGAAACACACGCAGACATGGGGAGAATGTGCAAACTCCACACAGACAATCGTCTGAGGGTGGAATTGAGTCCGGGTTCCTTGCACTGTGAGGCAGCAGTGCTAACCACTGTGCCACCGTGCTGCCCCAAGGGTATAGCAGGAACCTTTGGTAATATGTATATCAATCCTTTATGTTGAAAACTACTTCTACGATTATCTGAAGAATCTTTAACTAGAATCTATTTCTTAATATTGTCAGTAACTTCAAAGAAACATCCACTTACTACAAAATAACTTCAGCTGTTATCTTTGCAGCTGCTTAGGGAATTAATCTGGCTGGTTCATGGGCTAAGACTCACACCTGGTGTTATTCATTTACTGGGACAATCATCCTTTCACTTATGAGGCTAGAACTAATAAATTGTCTGTTCTTAGGCGTTCTCTTATGAAAACTGTCTCGGATGGTTGCTGACCTTGGAGTAGCCTTGTTCAAAAGGTACCATTTTGTTTCACTTAAATGTTAGAGCAGGCTATCCTATTTTGTGTTAATCTTGTTGAAGACTTTGTCTCTTTCAAACATGGCCTGCTTTGGTGTAACCGGGTACAGGTCACCCCTGCACATATTCTGTGTTTTTTTTCATTTCGTAAATACCAACTTCATGCATAACATCACTCAGAACTGTTTTGCAAAGCACATGCACAAGAAGCTTACTTATGGTGATTGGTTTGGACAGCAAATGCATTGGCATTGATTACGTCCAATTCTTCACTGAATAAAGACTGGATAGTTTGATTTTTTTCTGGCCCTCGCAGAATGGGGAGACCATCATAATGTGGGAAAGCCTCAATAGACCAGCTGATCTTTACCTTCCCATCAATTTCACGTGTTCACAATCATCACCAAATAAACCAAAGTTTGTATTTGGTCTCAATTCCATCAGGTGAGCAGGCTGACAGAAGAGTGTAGTGAACTGAAGTTTGCCTGTACGTCAATAATTCGCTCCACATGCATTTTATATTATCAGTAAACAAGATATTATTGTGCTGAACTCTTTCCTCAAACATCACAATTTCAAGACAACATCAGCTTTATCCAGATTAAAAGTGATTCGGGAAATGACTAATCAGCACAATTCAGGTCAAGCATTTCCACTGGATTCAAATTTATTGGCTTCAGCAGACAACACCATTTGAACTCTTACCTGATAGTACATCAGAAAGATCTATTTCATCAGATTGCACACACGTGCTGCTATTATAGGCATTTTTGCAGGATGAACCACCCATTTCTAAATCGAACAGAACTGGATCAAAGGGTGAGCTGTACAAACCATATCTGAAAATTCAAAACCATATGAGTACCAAATATGATAAACTAGGAGGGAAAGAAAATGAAAACAGAAATATCTACCAAAATCAGAGACTAAAAAGCAAATTGCTCGAAAAAAAAAGGCATGCTGCTGAAGCTGTTTATCTTGTACTAATCAGGA